GACGCCGATAACGCAAATCCTCTGTAGACCAAACCATCTCATTTCGGAAACGGCCTCTGAATTGAGACATAGCTTGTATATAAAGATGGCAGAATGACAGCTCCCCAAAAGAAAGCCAAAGTATCTGGAATGCCCCCCCCCCCCGCTGGCACATTTTGTATTCTCACTTATCTGTGATATCCAGCCTCAAACTCTCCTTTGCCTCTTTCTGAAGTGTTTGTAACCCTGTGCTCCTCGGGCGCGTCACACACTGAGGACATAACTGCATAAAAGTGGATTTTCCCTTTAAGCATGCAACATGTACCAGCATATTCAGTTAATCATCACCGGAAATCCCACATAACCACGTGAGGTGAGGGTGCACAGGAAGTGATGAGTGTTAGCGGCTGCCTCCATCAGTTTATATGCTAAAGGTCTGGTTAGTGTGAGAGGAAATGATGAGGGGAAACTGCAAGAGGAGAAAAGAATAAAGTAAAAGTAACAAGAGAACATCGAGGCCCATCCAGTCGCACACATGTCGACAGTAAGAGGAGAACCTGGTAAAAACACAGAGTTAGAATAATGCAGATCAGACGGCGTGCAGCCCAAAGAGACAACAATCGACCTGCGCTGAGGAACGAGTCCAAAAGAGTCGTCTTGTTTGTGTCGTGCTCACTGGTCCACACACTGGTAAATGTCAACATGTACTTCTGTCAGTAATCAGGACACAATCTGAAGACTCTTTGACTGTCAGTTTGTTTTAAAGGACCACACCAGCGGTTTTACAGGATCTGATCCATTCGTGACAAATCCTATTTTACTCAAATGCCAAACTGGTTTAATTCCTTTTCTGTAGGTTTGACAACCAACTTGACAAAATTTGAAGACTGCTTCATTAAGAAAACTCATTTGAGATTTTGAGAATAATGTTGTCATATTACAAGAATAAAGACGGCGTTTAATAAGAAAAATGTCATCAGATCTGTGTTGTACATATTTCAGTTTTCGACATTGTGTTTTTTTAGGTTTGTCTGATGCTCTCTAACACTACGATATGTTTTTGTATGTATTAGATGGAACCTCACAGGAGACGTGCAAGGCTTTGGAAGTTGATTTTCCTCCTGAACTGGTGGAAATTTAATTTAACTTGACTCATGTAATAGAAATGTATGGTATGGTATGATATTAGAAAATGTGACTTATGGTTAATGGACTAAAACATGCAAAAACACCAGTATGGTCCTTCAAAAAACAGATGGTCTGTACCAAATAAACATGCACACATCAACACAAGAGAAACAGAGACATGACCATCGCACAACTTCTGACACCACTCCGATCACTGTCACTCTGCCTTCCTGTGAAGCATGCATTAATGAACAAGGTGAGGAGGGGGAGGGGTCTGCAGGGGGTGAGGTGAGAGGTCCATGTGGTCGGTGAACCCACCGCCAAAGGTCAGGGAGGAAGAGGAGGAACTTACATCACGGAGAAAGGCAGAGTTAGAGTCCCCAAGGAGTTGTTAGTATGACAGTGTGGTTCTGGATCAGAGCACAGCGGACAGGGAGGAGGAAGAGGAGGAGGAGGAGAAAGAGCCCAGAGGGGGAGAGAGGGGGGGGAGGAGGAGGGAAGATAGAGTGGGAAACATTAATCGGTAAAATCGGGCACAGAGGAAGAGGAGATACACGATAAGTCTGGCATGTCAGAGGGCAGAGAGGTTGACCAGGAGAACTGAGGCGGCTGATTCCAGCCTGCAGATCACACAGATAACAGGAAACACACACTCATTCACTTTAGACCTGCAAAATCTGAAGATCTGAGGTTGACCTTTGGTGAAGATGCACGACGGTCAGACAGTATTCAGTATGAGACACACAACAAAGCAGGGTTGGCCAATATGAAGAGATGCACTGTGAAAAAAATCTACGGGTGGAGAATTTACTTTTGTATGAAGCTGTAATTCTGCCAGTCAGTGTGCCGGACTAACTTAGAGTAACCTTGGATATTAAATCAAGGTGCTTTATTATATTCAGAATTTATATAACAGGTATTTCAATTCAACTCAATTAATGAATCAAATTATCATCCTCAGTTAACGGCTGTCGTATCATATTACGGTTTTCAATTTGCATTAAATAAACAAGATATGACTTGTTAATCACTGAGCGGCAGGCATATGGAGTTTGTCTCTTTCGGACACAGCCAGGCATTCCCGTCTTTATGCTAAGCTACGCTAACTGTCCACTGGCTGTGTGTGACTACCTTTATTTAAAACTCTTAGCTTTAAACAGAGGTGACCACTTCCCTCAGAAGCATAGACTGAAAATAAACATGACGGCCAGCGTTGCCAGATGGGAAATGTTGAAGTATCATACACGACTGAGGATGGGATGCTCAATACCGATGTTTTAAAGCTGTGTTGAGATTCCCAAGCGATTTAGGGGCAAGGCTCAAGGCTCTTATTTTGAAACATAAGACGGGAAAGACTTGTGTTAAGCTTCTGAGATGCGAGTCACCATGTAACGGTCACATTCATCATCACGAGCATCACTGGCTTAAAAGACGTCACGTGAGAAGAGATGCGTAAAATACACATGTGATCCTTATTTTGAGATCCAGATTACAATCATGTGTTATTGATCGTACGTCGTACAGAGGACAAAATGATCATACACATTAATTATCATACATGTGGCAACACTGACGACAGCTCCCCAAAAGTGAAGCCAAAGCGTATTGATCACCCCCTAGTGGCTGGCCACCGTACAGGTTACAGACTTGACTACTTCTGCAAATACAGGAATGCAAGGTAGACCCTGATTTAAGGTTTAACTCATATTGAAACTTATTTATTTGTCTCATCAATTGTAAACATAAATGGTTTTGTTAAGAATCTTTTGTCTTTGTGTGTATCTACTCAGTATTGACATTCTGCGTGCTTAAGTACATCACAATTGTTTTAATGTACAGCTTTAATACAGCGTGACCCATTTTGGAGTGAAGTTTTAATCTTTCCGTTGAGAGATTGAATGCTGAAAGCATTTTTCTTCCTGATTCATGATTTAAACGCTAACAGAAAGATGGATGGATGGATCTGTCATTTAAATTAGAACTTTTTATTGAATGTATTGAATTACACAACTTTGTGTACAACTATGATTCCACTTGCGGTAATTAAATGTCTCGATTCGGTTTATTTAAGCACAGAAGTAAAAGCCAAACTATAAGGAGGTCACTACAGCAAAGAAGAAGACAAAGAAGAAGAAGATGAAGAGGAAGGGAAAGAAGAAGAAGAACTTTTAAGAACCCGAATATAGAGAAGAAAGTGGAGTCTTACTGATGAGGGTTAAATATTTGAACGTTACCGTTGCATCAGTCAGTGCTTTCCATCTGAGAAAGAAGCATGAACATTTTAGTGATGCTGCACAATATAACGTAGCTTGGCTTTTGGTGGGGATTCATGAAACCTTTAAAATTTGTCATGAACAATTTAAAAATCCCAGGACTGAGTCATGAACGTCCTTGTGTCATAAAACATGGCCCCCAGATTAAATGAATGAAGAAGCGCTGAATCCGGTGCATCTCTATATTTACCTCCATACACGCAGACTGTCCTCTGTCTGAGTCGGGCTGTCTGCTGCTGTCGTCTCTGCCGTGGCCGCTCTGTCCTCCGGCCTGCAGCCTCCGCTCCTCTCTGAGGTTCTGCTCCTGCAGCTTCTTATTGAGGATGCGTGCTGCATTCTCAGCCAGCGTGTAGCCCGGCGGGGCGGACAGGTCCTGACGTATGCTCACCACCTCTGAGTTTTTGTCCCCCTGCGTCTCTACTATCAGCTGCACAGGGCTGGGTGAACGCCCTCTGGCCATTCGCAAGCACTCCGGCACATTTCTGGGGTCTGTGGCGAGAGCCCCGTGAGCAGGGCTGGGCTCGGTGGTGGGGGGCGGTGTGGGGCGAGAGCGACTGGGGGACTTGTTGAACTTCTGCATGGACTCGTAGGCCACCGGGGTGTGGTCAATGATGTTGAAGAGGCTGGAGAGGCCGTCGTTGATGGTGGTGTGAACGGGGCTGTCACGAGTGGTGGTGGAGCGAGCCCATGCCGACTCGCTGTTGCCCTTCTGGGGTGTGGTGGGAGTGGGGGCGCGGCTGGTGTTGGGTAGCTCGGTTTTACTTGTTGCAGAGAGTTTGCGCTGAAGTTTGGGAGAGCCAAACTTTGGCGAGCAGCAAGGTCGTTCAAATTTGTTCTGGACCACTGGAGAGTACTGAATCTTCCTCAGGCTGCGTGATGGGGAGGAAATGGGCGTGCTGCCTCCTTTCGGGGTGAGGCAGCGGTGGGGGCTGCTGGTCAGGTTCCTCAGTAGGTCCGTCTGAAGACCCACACTGATGGTCTGGGTGGTCTGAGTGCCTCGTGTGGTGAATCCATTGGTCTGGCAGGCGGTGTCCCGGACGACAGGCCCTGGTGGAGAGCGGATGGCGTTTCTCACAGAGATGGCCACCTCCTTCATGTCGTCACTGAGGTTCCTGGAGAGCTGAAGCTCCAGAGACGAGGCGTAGCCGACTGTGGGGCAGATGGGAGATTGACTAGGTGAAGTCCTTAACCCCCCACTCTCCAGAAGCCCACATGCCCACCTCCCACTGCTAAACACCTCATCTTGCCCACTGGCTCCCACCCCAGCCTCTCCTCCGCCCCTGGCTTTGGTCCCCTTGGCGTACAGGAATTCTGGGTCTTGGGCAGTAGCTCGCTCAGCTCCTCCAAGTCTGGTGGGGCTGTGTAGGAGGTGCACCCCATAGTGCTCCACTCCCCCCCCTGCAGACCCTGCTCCGTTGCCCTTCAGCGGGGACTTGTGGCAGTGCTCAGGGCTGCTCAGGGTGCTGGTGGTCAAGGTGGCGCTGGTGGTGAGGAACCAGGAAGGTGGCTTGAAGGGATCGGGAACAGGTTCGACTCCACGGGTCTCTGAGATATTGTCTGTCCACACCTCCCGAGCAGGAACCGAGCCAGAGGGGGATGATGGGAAGTCCCAGCCCTTATTGTTGAACTCCTCGATGTATTTGAGGTCATCTGGAGACAGAGGAGGAGTGACGTCGTCTTGGCCCTGATCCCCGTGGCGAGTTTTGTCTGGGAGGAACGGCGAGCTGTCCATTAGCCTCTGGAAGTCGCTCATGGAGCAGACGGACTTGGCCCTGGAGAGAGAACACACACACACACAGACACACACACATGGAGATCATTAAAAAAGCAAAGACAACAACAAACATTTCATGATCTCATCTTTTTTATATTCCCACTGCAGAAAACATGTGCCTGTATATTTTCTTTGTGAAGCAGCTCTTTGCCTTTCAGTGTTTTAAAATTGTTTGAATAATTTAGCAGCATAATGAGCTGGATCACTTCCTCACCATATGAGAAACTGTCTCAGAGAAATCACCTGGGGAAACTCACTGTCACTTCAAGAAACAGTTAATAGAATCAACAGCCGATTGCCCAAAGGATCAATATTGAGTATTTATGAGATTCAGCAGCAGGAGGAGGAGGATGCTTCATAATCTGCAGCCAGTCACACCAGTTCACAGTGAAGATGATTTACTGTTGATATATTGAAAAAGTTTCTCCTTTTTTGGACTTGAAGCTTTTTTACCTGAGCAGACTCCCACCGCCCATCTCCTCCTCTGGATACCCAGGATCCCCTTCCCTCTCCGAAATCTCATTGAGGGCCTGGAACACAACAGATACAATAGTTCAGTCATGTGGAAAAGGTCTAAGTGAAATATAATTATAATGTGAAGCATCTTCTTGGTAAAACTTTGGCACAAACTTAAGGGTGATTTGTTTTGACTGTGTGTTACCTCCTCCATGCAGGGGAACCTCTTCTCACTCTCCAGTCTGGAGGGCGGAGGGACCTCCAGGCCGCTGAGGGGGTCCAGAGACAGCGCGTCCAGGAACAGGTTCTCCGTTGGACCTTTCAGCCTCATCGCCGCTCCCTGCTCCTCCAACATGGCCTCAGAGTCAGAGTGGGAGCGTGTGGGAAGGGCCAGGACAGGGGTGGACATACAGGGGGAGCGCGGGGAGCGAGGCGACCGGGGCGCTGGGCAGGGGCTGTCCTGAGGTGAGAGCATGGCTCTGTTGCCTGAGCTGCCGTCTTTGATATCCTCCCCTCGCCGGGTGTTCAGCTCCCTCTGCATCTGCACGGAGAATAAAAGAGAGAGATACCCATGAAGTGATCAGTCAGATAATCTGCTGTTGTCTACCAGTAGAGGAAATCAGTGGGGGTTTCTGTCAAATATGCAACACCCTGCTGTACCCAGTGTTTTCCTCGACACTCGGAAACCCACCTGCAACATCTGGTGTCAAGCACCTTGTTCCAGGTTGGAGGTTAAAGGAGGCAAGACACATTATTCTTTCATTTCCACCCTGCCAGTCGGAGCAGTTGAGTTCGTGACCTGTGGTTTATAGTTTGCTGCAACATCCCTGAATAATGCATGTCTGCTTCCTGCTCAGTGTCTCCATTCAGAGGTGCATCAGCAGATTCTGTCTCCGAGCTGGTAAACGTGAGCTGTATTCAGACAGAGTTCCTGTTGTCGTTATTCCCGCTTCCTGCATTATATGTTATTATTACTCTCATATCACATTAAAGATGTTCCCACATCCTGCCCTGAACATCAGACACAAAGGAGGTGAGATGCTTCTGCAGTTCGTCTAATTACACCTCACAAAGGGAATCAATTATTCAGTAATCCTCGGTATTTATTGTGTCTTGCCTTGACAATTCTAAAGTTCCACACAACAGAGAAGATAATCGCCTCAGGTGTTTTGTCACACACACACACACACACACACACACACATATTTTAATAAGCAAAGGCTTTTGATCTCTAAGTTGTGATACGTTTTTGTAGTTTGATCTGTAAAATAGCTTCAAGGGCTACAACTGAAGAGAACTTTTCTCATGTATTATTTTGTTACCTTACTCCAAGGAGGTCATGTTTTTATCTGCGATTGTTTGTTTGTTATCAAGATTATGCAAAACTACAGAACCAGTTTTCATTAAATTTTGTGGAGGGCATGACGCCATTTTGTATTGGATCAGGATTAACAGGAATGTATTTTCACTTTCTTTAAAAAATACATTAAAATCACAATAAGATCGAATGAAATAAATGGGGGAAAAACAGCAAACAGGAGAAAGCTCTTGGAAACAGATGTGTGATATTGTCCATGTGTTGAGATTTGTTTTGTCAGTTTGTGTTTCCAAGTACAGTATGAAATTTGAAGCTCTTACACCAACATGAATGAGAAGAACTTCAAGTGCTGATAGAAATAGAAATTTTAACATCTCCATGACAACTGGGACGTCTGTGTTCTTCTGAATCAGCACCTTTTCCCTCCATCTTTCTCTTCCTCATCCCCCCTTCCTCACCCTCTCCATCTTGCGGTGGAGCTCTCTCATGCTGCCGTTCCACTCCTGTCGCTCCCGGTCGAGGCGCTCCATAAGCTCGGCCCTCTCGCGGCTCCACCTCTTCTCCCCGTGCTGCAGCTTCCAGCGGAGATCCAGGGAGGTGCTGTGGCTGTCGGCCAGCAGACGCTGGTGTTCCTCACGCTCCTGCTTCAAGGCCCACTCTGGGTCTCCGGCCGGTTCCCCTTCACCTCCCTGGGCTTCGCCTCGCACTTGGCCTCCTGCCTCCTCATCAGACTGGTCACAGAGCAAAGACACAGACACGTTGAGCTGATTAGTGACTGTGAACGTGTACAGACTATTACAAAGAGATGATAAATGTGTAATAAATACAAAGCTCATGAAGAGGAAAAACTAAATGACAACATTTCAACTCAAGTTAAAAAGCACAAATAACTACACGTATAAAAAGAACAAACAGAAATGCTAATGAAACACTGTGAGATGACAGGAGGGTGTCACAAAGTGCCGCTAGTAGTTTGGCAGCCGACAGAGACGCAGTAATCAGGTGAGGGAGGGCTGCTCCTTCAGATTTATATTTCAAAATGAACGCCGTAGGTGGGGTGTGGTTTACGTGACCCGGGGATTGAGAAGAACTGCAAAAATCTTCAAACCTGAAGCGTGGAAAAAGACGGAAGCCACTCTGGTAGCTTCTCTTTTCCAGGCCGAACTGAAGCTTTGTAGACTTCAGAGGGGCTTTCATCCCACAACATAACCAGAGTCTGTGGCCTTCACACGTCGGCTTACATAACTCCCATTCACAAACGTTTGTCTAGTCTTGTTTCATGCTGGGGTTTTAAAACCGTCAGGAGCGGAGGACATGTGCTGCTGACTGGACGCTGGTGTAAGACATTATAAATATAGACAGTTATGTAGGAGCCGGAACCAGAGCATGAAACATGAAGCAGCCTTGGCAACGGTATTAATATCTGGTGCTAGTGATTAAAAGAATCATCACTTTTTATATCCAGGTATAAATACACAGGTGAGGGTATTTCCCAGTTCTGCTGTGCTCCACTCGGCCGCATACGCAGCAGATGTGGGGCATGTTTCTGAAGAATTAATCAGAATCGGGCACAGTGGAGTTCGACACGCTGTTATCAGAAGGAACTAAGTAAATTAGTTTTCATTGAGGCCATGAGCGACCTCTGCTCTGTGGATGGATATGAACCATGTAAAAGCCCCGCAGATTAAAAAGCACGAGAGCTAAACGATAATCTTCCTCCTATAGCTCAGAGCTCTTAATTGGTTCCCGTAGCTGCGGTCTTCGTTTTATCAGATAAAGCCGAGAGGAGACGCTGAAGCTGACGATGTTCTTCAGATTTTACAACACAGGCAATATCCTCAAAGTGACACTGAGCATCAATGTCCACACTGTCTCACAATGGTGTCCACTTCTCAACATGATCTTCCTCTCAAAGCTTAGCACTGATTCCTTTGTCTGCTGTGAACTTCAAAAACAAACAAATTGCAAGTGCTGGGTGGAACTGGGGTTTTAACAGACGTCAATACCAACAAACATTTGGCTGCCAGTTATAATACACCTGTTTAAAACTAATTCAGCAAACAAATCCTCCCTTAGTGAACTTCGTCCATCCTTCCCTGATCCATACTGCTTATCTTTTAAGCGCCATGAAGGAGGTGAAGCTAATCACAGCTGAAAAGGGACGAGAGGTGCATCCTGGACAGGTCGCTAGCATGTGGCAATTTAAAGTCTCCAACTAACCCCAATCAGTCTTTGGACTGTGGGAGGAAAACTGGAGCGCCCAGAGAAAACCCATGCACAGAGAGAGACCCTGGCTGAACTTTAGAAACACACTCATAACACCTGTGATACCCACCACCTTCACAAAACTAGAAACACTTCTCCACAGAACTGGATTTTACTGAGATTGTCTCATTTTTCTATGAAGTCAGCAGAAAGTCTGCAGAATGTGATGAGAGTGCACTGCAGGGGATCCCCGCAGGATTCACAGCGAGTGAATGGGGGGGGGGGGGGCTTCTAAGACTGAATGAAAAAATAGAAATAGAAAACAAACATCTCCCGGTGAAAAAGTGGAGCCTGCCGTGTTTTTAAGATAGTTTGTTGTGACAAGAGCCAATGACGATGTTGATGTATTGTAAGCAAAGTCATGTGATCTCTGCAGCACAGGAGTTAATACGTCACTTCCTGCCTCCGCCTGCTGCACCAGGCTGCATCACCTCTCGCCTGAATAAGGTGCAGGATTTGTTGCTGTTGTGAACGTGTCTGAGCAGAGAACCTCCCGCTGCGATGTGCATGTGTGACAGACAAACTGCAGGTGAAGTCCAGACCCAATTCTCCGGACTTCATCAGCAGGTCACGTCTGAAAACGGCTTAAGAAAGAATAAGAAAAGCTTCGATGAACAATCAGACACTTTGCTGAAATAATTCGTTTTGACACTGACAGAATAATGTGCACCTACAACATTGTGCCAGGGAAGTGATTCATCATTATTTCCATTATGAATTGGATTCTGTAAAAGTGTTTGACCCAGGAGACACAACCTGGAGCTCTTATTAACGTCATAATCATGTTTTCAAAATGACACTGATTGGCCCAAGGTTGGAGCTAAAATGACTCGGATCTGACTTGTGTGCCCTGAGTGGGATTTCACCCGTGGAAGAGGCAATGTGTTTACTGTCGACATGCTGCTTATCGAATGCGCCGCCGGATTCCGACGCCAGATTGTGTCCTGTCCCTTTAAAGGTGGGCGCTGAGACGCCATCTGTACCTGGGCCACCTGGCACTTCATCTCTGCCCACTTGACCTCCCAGGCGGCTTTGTCATTGGCGTAGGATTGCTGCAGTTGCCATCGTCGCGTCTCCTCCTCCCGCAGTTCCTCCCGAAACTCCTCCAGCAGCGTCCGCAGGGCCTGCAGCATCCGACGGTTCTCCCCACACTGCACACACAGGACAATAATCAGCAACAACACATCAGCAAAAACACACAGGAAGTTCTTTCCTTATCTTGAAATCTTTTTATCTGTATGTGTCCTTTGGGATGAACCTGCTTTGTAAGTGCTTTATAAACCAATTTGACCTGAACCTCCCATCTGTCTCCTGCTCTGCTTGACCTTTCCCATCCTCAATTCCTGGCACAGAAGAAGATGCACACAAGCTCATAAATCCTAATAGTTGATATGAACTGAAATTCCTCAGGAACAAGCTACTAGACAACAACAATTCTGATTTATTTTGGTCCAACAAGCTGGATTTGGGTTCCCGAGGCTGGAGGCAACATGAGCAGTGACATCCAGCGGGTGAGAGAGAAATCAAACCGCATGTTTTCCCTGTGTGTCTGCTCAGAGAGGTGTGTGGAGGGTTGTTGGCCTCTAAGGTTTTGCTATTGAGAGTCTTCAGGTCTTGGCAGGAGGCAGTGAAGCTCAAAGGTGTCTGTGAGAAAAACATCATCTCCAGGCACCACCGCTACAGCGCTGGCCGCTCCGCCTGCCTCAGCTCAGAAGCTGCTAAAATCACAGTCCAGTGTTTACAGGACAGAAGGAGTGTTTTTTTCTCATACAAGGCAGAAGTGACTACAAGAACTCTGCTGGTGTATTTCTGAATAAACACAATATGGCCATCAAGACAAGTCTGGCATTATTTCTTTTTACAGATTCCCTCAGAGCTGGCAGAGAGGAAACAGTAACTCAGATAAAGTCTTTAGAACTGCAGTGAGCAGAAGAGCATCTCAGAATAAACTAGAATACAGTCCAAATAAATTCTATCAAGCTGCACCAAACTCATACATGCAGCTTGATTGGTGCCGAACGAAGCTGTGTTTAGAAAGACAACGAGATTCCAGAGGTTTTAGTGATTATGGCATATGTCCAAATTCTCCAAAAAGGCGCCACCCCTCGCCTGAATGTTTCAGAAGGTTTGTTGTTGTTGTGAACACGTCTAATCTCCTGCTGCGTTCTTCATGTGAAAGGAAAACTCCAGGAAAATGTCTGAAAACATAAAACTGTCCAATCCTCATTAAACCATTGGAATAAAAATATTATAAAAGTTGAAACAACTGACATCTCATCTTCTGTTTATTGTATTTATATGGTTCAACTCTTCAGCAGCATCAGGGATGAATGAATCAGGATTTTCTCTCCCCAAGTTTTCACTGAAAACTTTCAACGACCTCTTCACGACTTAACATACTATCTTCTCAGTTTGGCTGCAGGACTTATTATCTTATTATCCGTGCTCGCTCTGCTTCGCTGTAGTAACCATGTGTGTAAATGCTGCATTTCTACTCTCCCACGCATCAAGCTTATTATAGTCTGCTGGGCGAGCTTGTTAAAACAGGAAAGACTATGGCAACAATGTCAGATCACGGTACAAACCATTTTTCTAACCTTGTTGAAAAATCAAAACACAAGACAAAGTGAAGCACTTAGAGCTGCTTAATAATGCAAACCCACCCAAAAATGCTTACATACTTTCTTTACTTTAGCAGAAAGCAAAGTGGTGGACGGAGGTAGAGAGAGCAGATCTGCACACACGCTACGTTTGGCCTCAAAAGACACAGCTCCTTTTGTCTCTTTCCAGAGCAACCGAGAGTCCGTGCCTTTGCTTGAACAATAAGTGCGAAACTGGGTGTACTCAAAAATAATTACTGCCTCTAGTTGAAAAAAAAAGAAGTTATCTGGGTCAAAATTCTCATCTGCATACGATGCCAAACAGCTCAGATGAGCGGCTGCCAAACACTCATTTGTGCACAATGAAAATGAATGAGAGGAATAATTGAAGACGAGGTTACAGTCGATGTCCAAACCCGGACAGTACATCAATTTACTGCAGAAGATAGAAAGTACAACCAATATAATATCTCTGTGGTACTTAACTCATTAATTCATTATACATGAATACTGTATCACATGTACTGTATATATGTGACTGTTTAACATTTTCTTTTGTAAAAACAATCTAATGCTACTGTCACTGCTTTTATTGTGTTTTACTAAATCTATAAAATCTATTTAAGCGTAAATTTGCCTGAAAGGCTGATGAATGAAAAACATAACTGGGCTCAGTTTATGGTCGGTGAAATGTTCTCTCCGGTGTGGATGATGGAAGTAACTGGGCACCTGTCTCTGATGCTGCAGGTGTTGGTCAGGTGAAGGCAGAGGGACGACGGGGTCCGGGACGTCCCCTGGAGTTTGTGGTAAACACAGTCTGTCATCTCGATCCGACTCCCCCTCGGCCTGCTCCATTATCACTCCCAACTCCGGGATGCCCTCCAACTTCTCAAACTGGAACAGATGAGCCACGAAAAAGCTGTGTCTCTAATCATGCACTCATTTTCAGTCACTGTCACTGAGTCACTATGTGTTGCAAGCATGCAAACAATAGTAAACAGCACAGAGATGCATCTGAGACAAAGAATACTACAAACTACAAATTCTGCTCATTTTCAAACGATGATTCATCAAAATAAATATCTCTGAATCTTGTGCTTTCTCCGTTACTTCAGTTTTCCCTCACTTCAACGTTCACAAGATCTTCTGGAGGGCGACGACTTTAGAGAGACTGTTTGAGCTCAATGAAATAACCAGCTGCTGGATGCTGCTCACCCTTCTCTTACTCAACAGATTACTCGCAGCGTGTTAAAGTGAGTGGGAAGATGCAGGGAATTAGGACACATCTTAATGTACGCCCTGTGACTCACCTCTGGGTGAGCCGTCTCCTCTGCCGAGTCGTCCTTGCGGCTCAGCCTCCAGTGCGTGAGGATCCACCGGAGCTTCATGTAGAAGATGATGGTGTTGCGTCTGAACAGGCGGACCTCTTGCTGCAGCAGGGCCCTCTCCTGAGCCCAGGGCGCCTCATGACTCTGAAGTCCGAGCAGCTCCAGGCCGCCACGCTGCGCCTCCAGACACAGAAGCTCATCTTCCTGTTGGGACACGGATTTGGGGAAGAAACTGAAAAACATACTGGACAAGAGTTTCTATTAAAAATATTCTAATACTTTATAATGGTGCAGGATTATCAGTTTTAAAGTAGCAGTTACTTATTCATTATTATTAGTGTCAACTGATGTCAATAATTTCCCGATCAATGAATCGTGAATTGCCCATCGGAACTTCCTAGAGCCTTCGGTGAAAACATTTAATGACTTGATTTAATAAGTTTAATATCCAAAGGTATAAAATATTCCATTTGAGAAGCAGGAATCACAGACTTTTTTTTTTTTCATTTTTGCTTAAACGTCGAAAATATTTGATATTCTGCTAATTATTTCAGTCTTAAATGATACTTACGGGTATTTTAATGTGCAAAACATTTTGGTATCACATTTTGAATGTCAGGTTTTGGGGTTTTATAGAATTTACAAGACAGATTGTGATTTCAATTTCTGTCTAAGAATAAATTACAGCTATGGATGTAATAAACTTTTTTCCCCTCCTTGGATTTAATTAAATTATGCTCAAACTTAAGTAAAGTTAGCTGAGTCAGTGAAGTGTGATGGTTCTAGGGTTAATGTTAATGATCTCAGGAAATTAAAACCAGGCGTGACAGTCGGCGTCGTTGTACCTGAGGCAGAGAAACGACGGCCTCGTGTTCCTCCGTCGTCGCTCTCAACCTTCGTTCGTGATCGAGACGAAACTGGATGTCAGCAGCAGGCGTGTCCCGGAGCTGAACCCACAACAGCACAACACACAGTCACTCTACCGACACTCTGGAGAAGTTGCATCACATGAAAATACCGCACTAAAACACAAACAGGGATTTTGCTGAAAGATAATTATGTTTGTTCGCTGGACTGAAAAGAAATGAGATCTGACTTTCACTCAAGTTGAAATCCATTACACCTTCTTCTGCTGCATCTGAGGATATGATTATAATTTAAAGCTGCACATTTCAGACTGGACTAAGACTCAAAAAGCAAAAGGAACATTCTGACATTTTGAGGATTATGTTTAACTGTCTCGCTGAGGGTTCAGCTCTCGTGTCTGTATAGTAAATATGTGATGTAGCAGTTTGTTAGATCAGCTGAGCACAAACACTAGAAACATATTTGGCAAACTCAGCATGGATTTTTTTTTTCTTGCTCTCAACTAGGTTTTGGTTTATTATAGAGGTGACTTGGGAAGTGTGAAGAGTGAACTAATACTCTCGTCTTACAAACACTAATCAGACGAGGAGTATATTTTACTAGAACTGCATTATTCTGATAAGACATATGACGCATTTACTGCAGCTTTAAAACTCAACTAAATATGTAGAAAATGTATATAACGTGAAAATAAGGTTTATAAATTGTCCTAAGATACTATTATTTATTGCAGATCATGTGTTGCATATTTAAAATAGATTTCAAATGTCAGATTCAATAATTAAAATAGGAAAGTTAATGCAAATCAGGTTTGTTTTTTTACAGCAGGTGAAGAAATGCTCAAAGGGAAATGAGATGCTCATGTTCATGGTTTTGAATGTAATGACTCTTTTTTCAGTTGTCAACTCTCCTATTGAACATTTTCCTCTTTAAAGTTCAGACTCTCTTGATTTGGAAACTGCAGCAGTTTGTAAAGCGATTTGATTTTCTCTATGTGCTGGGCCTTCACCGGATCCTCCAGCAGTGAGTTGAGCTGTTCAGTGTGTTCTGACCCTGGATCACATCCCTGTCGGCCCAATGTCAAATGCAAATCACACCGACAGCGCAGCGCTAATCCTTCCATATCCAGGCTGCTTTCCCATTCAATCATTTCACCGCACAGATTCCACTGCGGCAGGGAGCTCGGGGAGGAGGAGGAAATCTACACGAATGTGCCATAACTGTAACTGTAGTGGTTATGTGTCACATCAGCACTGCCGGCAGTCTGCGTTACATAACGAGCAGCTTCCCCATGAAAACAAGCATGAGGCGGCGATTATGAATCAGTGTGATTACACAGCTGATTTATTAAACAGTCGAGTCACCGAAGAGTTGAACCGACCGGAGGTGGTGTGAGCTGCAGCAATGTGACCACTCACCTCTTTGATTTTCTGTGTGTGTGTGTGTATGTTATTCTGCAACACTTGTGTGTAAGCAGCACTTTTACATATGCTTAATTTGCTGAGTCATGACAGCACAGCCGACAGTCGTGAACCGGTGCCAGAGGGCATCACTACAGGCTTTGTGCAGACGCAGCTTCGCTAAGTGCATTAGCGCTTTAATGGATTAGTGCAAATATTTTGCAATCAAATGATCATTATGGTAATCTTTGAAGCACTTCTGTCAAATATTTGCTGTTTCTTGCTTCTCTGAGAATTTGATTATTATTATTTATTATTATTATTTGGCACTTAATAGAAAAAACAATTTTTCTATGAATTAAAAAAGAAATTGGCAGTTTAATCAATGAGGAATATAGTTAAATTCCTGAAGTGTATAAAAAAACTCTTGTTAATATACTGTAGCTGTGGAAGGCTGCAACAAATACTCGGCCGTCACATCAGGTTTCAGAACACAACGTGCAGTCAATGCAATAAATGAGCAAAAACCTCCAGTCTGGCACAATACGGGTCAACGTTCTCAATTCTTAAGGAACAATCCAATCTACTCTCCTCCTCAAAGAAGTAAATCAATCAAAGGATGTCCAGGGAAGTATGGTACAAATTACAAAAGAAAAAAGAAAAATGCTAAATTAAAAGTTCAGTGGCTGTGGAAGTGGATATTTAGTGTGAAGTGAGTGAATGAGGTGAAATCATGTTCAGCATCAAAACGCTGGAGTGTGACTAGACTTACTGGACTGAGCGGCTTTCTGATTTTAACAAACCTTTAAAGAACGTATGAGAAATCTCCTTTACTTTAAGAAGTTATATTTAAAAAATATTCACCTCATGTGCAATAATTATTTCCAGAATTTAAAAAAAAGGTTATATAAATACATGCACCATCAAGGAGTGATAAAGTAGAGTCAATGTTTGAAGAGGAAGAGTCGGCACAGTTGATCAGTATGTCTCGGCCTCGGTGATGTGCATGCATCAGTATGTTAGTTTTGGGTTGGTTTTATTTTGGAGCTTCACCCTGTGGAGCTGCATTTAACAGTTTTGTTGCTCTACACTGAAGAAACTGATAAGATTTTGGTGTGAGGGAGAAATAGCACAAAAATAGTGTCAAAAATCTAGAGGAAAGCTTTAGACTCAGTTCAGTACAGGCCCATATGTGGAGCTCACAGTGGAGCCAGCGTTAACTCAGTCCCACAGATGGAAGGGGAGAAGGAGGAGGGAGGAGGCACTGACCTCTGCTCTTAAAGCCAGGGGCCTGTGGTACCTAGTGAGTCCCGTGGCTCCCCTGCTCTGGGCCTGGCCCCCACCCTGGCTCTGGCTCTGGGGCTCCACGCCTCGCTCCTGTCCTAGACGCCACTCCAGCTCATCCCTCTGAACGAGTGACGTGGGGAGGGGGAGGGGAACGAGAGGGGTGAAGGGGGGGTGAGTGTTGACGATGGGTGTGAGGGGTTAAGGGGATTGGGTGACAGGTGCGGGATACGGGGGGTGCAGGTCGCAGTGGTGGGCGTATGGAGGGGGGGGGGGGGGGTGAGGTGGACAAAACAGACAGGACACAACAAACGGGGGGTGAGGGGGACGAGGAGAGAAAGTGGATGAGGGGAAAACAAACAAAAACAAAACAGAAAATGGGTAAAGAATATAAGCAGAGGGGGGGGGGGTTAACTAACAGACTACACAGTGTGGAGAAGAACAAACGGACTAGAGTACGAAGAAAAGCGCAAAGAGAAAGACCAACTTAAAGATGACGGCGTATGAGAGAGATGAGAAGAGAACGAGAATGAGGATGAACAAAATCATGGGCTGAAACATCTGGCGGGAACACAAAGAGGAACAAAGAGAGGGAGTCGGGGGGGGGGGGAAAGAATGCAAAAACACTTGTTATGAAGCGCATGCAATGAGGGATACATGAGTCCAAACCAACGGCTGAGAGATACCACGGCAAACTGCAGAGCGAGAGCCAGCACGCGAGAGGTTTTCAACACATGCCCGTGCACAGCCGAGTGTACTGGAGAAGCAGTTCACAGAGGAAAGTTGAATCTTGGGTCCGCTTTAATGCACATTGTTGTTGTTTTTTTCAGACATCACATTATTTTTAAAATACACTGGAGCTTCGTGGTGTGATGCCGTGAAAGCTGATCCCCTTTGCAGCAGAGCCCACATTTGAATTGTTCGTGTGAGGATTGTTAACAGCAACTTATCATATAATGTACATCTACTATATCTACCACCAGGTCAGAGAAGGGTCCCCAAGACATTTGGGATGTTCTTTTGTAATTCTGGCTTTTGTGTCTCGTAAAACACAGTTTTTTTAGTCATTATTAAATGATCATGATTAGAAGAAAATGTATGAGATAATTCATTCATTGTTTCTACATCTTAAATGAGAGACTTTCTAATAATGTGAAATCAGTGATATATATATACAGTATATATATTCTCTATTTCACATTGAGGTGTTGCCATTTTTAATTATATCATAACTATGAAATTGCTTTTTTAAACAAGTTTAATTAGATCATTTCCAGATAAAATCTTGTGATTGCGTATTACAAGATGCCTGAAGAGATTCAGAAGTCATAATTACATGAAAATATCCCCACGTTCTTTATCTTCCTTTACCAAAACGTATCTGTGTCTTTACACCTCCTCTACATCCTGCTCTTTGCTGCTGTGATTTAAAACCTCTGACGCTCTTTGTCCAACAGTTCTCAGTGGACAAAAGCCTTACTGCTTTAAACAGGTGAGTTGTTAGTTAACTGTGATCAAACCACCCAGCTTCACCCAGACTAACCAGTGAGTCCTACAGGCAGGAGGAGCAAAGCACAAACAAGTCATTGGGTAGAATGAGCATGGAGGCAGCTTCAGTCTATTATCTCGTACAAGGCAGATTGAATTCTTGAAGTGAGATGTTTGAGGAGCTGTTTGTTCCACACGACAGCGTGGCTGACTAGAAAAGACGTCCAAGATGTCTGCCTGATCATGCAGCACAGAGATAATGAACCTGCTGTGGGATAGCACACAATATGTTGACTTACACTAAGCTGCAATAAAACAAGGACAGAAAGCAGGATGCCAGCCAGCCAGGTTCTTCCACAGGCAACTCACACAGCACCATGCATCTCTCCATTACACTCGCTTTTAATAACAGAGGTTATTTTAGTCCGTGCACACATTTTTATGGTTTGTTTCCCTGGCAACACCATGGAGTAACCAATCCCACGTGTCAGTATGTGTGCATGTGATAATATTCTGTGCAAACATAACAGCGACAGCATTTACGCGTCGTAATGAGTCCCACAAATGATTGCATGGTGTGGCCGAGCTGTCAAGGGAAAAAATATTCACCAAAAATTCATCATGCAACAATTCACTGTGTCAGGAAACAAACTACACCCAAATGGAAGAAGAAGCCGTCATCACTCCCTTACTACTTACTCCATTCATACCAAGCACCCTTTCAAGCACTCTCCTGAGCACCCTTCGCTCTGGTCGAGGCTGCAGACAGTGAGTGCAGGGGAGCGGGGG